ACAGAACACTACCAGGGCTCACATGTCTGCAGAAAGGACGCTGCCTGAGCCCACCTTGACTGCTGCTCCCCCATCTCCCATCACACCTTGAGCAGAAGACAGCCCACAGCCACAGCAGTGGGACCCCCAGCTGCTCCCACACACAGCTTAGCTCCAGCAGGACAGAACCTGTCCTTCATATTTCCTTATTGACAAGTACAGACTCAAGGTCTGCAGAAAAGGGAGGGAGAAGATTTGAATGCCAACAGACAGACCCCACTGCCAATAGCCAGGAACCGATGAAAACTGAACAGGAAGGTAATTCACACTTACACAAGAAGAATGCCATCTAACTGGATCCTCCAAGCAAAATTATGTTGTTCTATCTTCCCAGACTATCTAAAGGCAATGAAGAGACTCTTATCTCATTGAGATAAGAAGAGTAAAAGCATCTGTATATCTTATATTCTTTAGCCAGTAGAGATTAATTCCTTGATTAAAGCAAAGATCATGGTTAAAATTCAGAAATCTAAACCTTAACAAATGGTGGTTATTGCTGAGTGCTGTAGGGCCTAAGTATTTATGACATCGGTGGATCTTGCTAGGCCCATCCCTTACACTCATTCCCTGAAGGCATGGTCTTCTGGTTGTAATTATGCTGATGCTATGACTAAAGCTGGGATCCATAGTTCAAATAATCCAGCCTGAAGGACCTGAATTACTGCAGGGTGGTGTAAAGGCTACAGTTAGGTAGAATGTGTCCACTGGGGCCTGTACCTTATAAGCTGCAACAGAAATAAGCAAGGAGTTATAAGTGAAGAACATGTCAGAGTTCTGTTTATGTTACTTATGGGAGTGTTGTGAACCAAGCTTACCTCAGGATGCTGGAAGCTGCATTCCATGTGTGATCATTGGGCCTGACAAGGAGTCAGCGTTGTGCCTTTTCGCAGAAGTATCAGCCATTTGTCAATATTAATAAGAAGATTAGAATGAGGACTAAGGTTAAATTTAGGGTTAGGAGTTATGGATCCTGAAGAATGCTAATTGCTGCTGACAGTATTTGAAGATACTTTATTTTCTGTTCTACTGTCAGGCAGGCATGTGTATGACCAATGTGCACAAAGGTCCAATTTACTATGTGCTGCTGCCCAAGAACATAAGAAGGAAGCCTAGGGTACATAGGTATTTATAACAAGGAGCTGAGGTTAGGGTTAGGTTAGGAATCCGATACTGAGGAATTTGTTTTGTTACTGGATGCTGCACAGCCCTCAGTATTAGGAACAGGGCTGATGTCAGTAAGAGACAGCTACTGGGGGACAAGAGGGAAGAGAGCAAGAGTGTTGTAGACCCAAGTCTAACAGTTACAATTGAGTAAGGAAATAACGTTAAACTTAGGAAATCTGAAGCCTGAGAATCAGAGTTAATGCCAATATATATGAAGTAACATCTCTATTAATACACTGCGTTGGTAGGCATTAGTGCTTTATGGTTTATTTTCCTGAAGCTTTGGGCCTTCGTTTTAGAAATGGGAATTGTTAGGATGAAGTTTCAGAATCTGTTGTGCTCTGAGCTGAATTTATTCATGAAGTTGAATTCTCCATTGAATGATGGAGATCACTAGCATTAGCACAAGCTTATGTTCTTGGTTCATCTACAAGTCTAGCTCCCTTCATAAAGCTACCATCAGGGCTCATGTAATGATACTGTCCAGGTGAGATTAGGAAATTTAAGACTACATCTGTGTCACTCAATAAAACAGGGCTAAGGACTTCTCCCAAGCCAAGCAGCACAGACTCCTTGTCTACTTTACACAGGACTTAACTGAGGTCCCCTTAGGGCCCAAGGTGTCACTGTGGCCTCTGAAAGTATTTAATTTTTCTAAAGACACTGAAACAAAAATTGTCATTTAGTGCCTGAAAGGCACCATGTTGCAGTCCATCAAAGTGGTACATTCAGTCCTTGAGCTGAGGTTGTTCAGTGCACGTCCTAGACTGCAGCATGAGGAGTAGTTGTACACTGTCCTGTCCTGTTGAGGGCACACAACCTTTTGCAATAAAGCTGGAGGACTGTGGAGGGAGACAAATTGATGTTGTTTTGTCTGTTCTGTGTAGAGGAAGGAAACCTTTACCTCTTACAGTCTCCAAACCATGCCTGAGCAGTGAATATTAAATGACACGAGGGGAAAATCAAACAAGGGAGTCACCATTAGCACTAAGACCAATTCAGGGGTCACAAATTTCGAACTTATTCTCCGTCTCTTATGGGTTTTTTGGTCAAGACAGTCATAGACTGGATGTGAAATGCTTGATTTTTTACACATGCTGCAGTTCCACAGTATTAACCAGCAACCTGGTGTTAGAAGGGAAAATGTTCCCCGCTACAAAACAGCTGGAGTCCTTCACTGTGGTTATAGCAAAGACGAAGGTTTGAAAGTGCTGCCAGCACTTGGATATCTAAAGCTTAAAGAACTGACAACTTTGCTGACTTCTTCAGAGCAGACATCCTGATGTAGATGGGAGCCAATTTTTATCACAGAATCACAAAGGTTGGAAAAGACCTCGAAGATCATCTAGTCCAACTAGTAGACCTGTCAACACCATGATCACTAAACCATGCATGTCCATGTCTTCTTGTGGTCTTTTCCTGTACCTTGGTTATAATTAACCACAATTAGCAGGCTGACATACTGATATCAGTATGGTCCGATCATACTCAAAAGGAGCATGTTACAGCATAGAAGAATAGGCCCTACAGTTTCCTTTAGCAACATACTGTGGTGTCTGCTATAATCCTACACATACAACCTAGATGAGACTACAGAATCGCATTAGCTGTTATCCTCCCTTCCTGCAAAAAAGAACAGAATTTAACCTCACAGTCATAATACGAAACTGTAATCTAAGTATTGACAGAATGTTCGACTGTTTTGCTTTCTTTTTATATCAGTTTGATAAGTATATGCATACTGAAATAATGCAACAAGTACCGGTGCTGTAAGGGGCAGAGCAAACATTTTTCACGGTCAGGGCTGCTTTTGCATAAACAATAATCTTAGTGACAATCTCAACTGCACTTTGGCTGTCTGTAGCAGTAACTTACAGGCACTAAGCACCCATACACACCAACTCTTACAAAGCTTTCCCAATGGTTTGTCCCCTTTCAGGAGACCCTGCTTTCAATAGTGTGCCAAAAAGGACAAATATCCTTCATTGCAAGGTTCATAGAAAACTGATGATTTTTTTGTTAAGTCAGCTGAGAGATCAGGTCTATAGTAATCAAAATAAAAACGTAATACCAGCAATGTTTTGTATAAGTCTACAGCCAGGATGAAAACTATAAATGTCAACCTGTAACACTTGTGAAAAGGACGGTTAATAACTGCACAAACCTTCACTTACCCCTGACACTTTCAAAAACACAAGGAGAGGAGGAAGGCTTGTGTTCTTTCTCCACAGATACAAACACATAGCATAGCAATGGGTCATACTCATGGCAGGAAACTGGATCCTGTTATTTGAGCCCAATGCCCTGATGCTATGAATCTCAGAAAATGAGAGCTGTTTACTTGTGAGGATGCAATTCATTTTTTGGTAGAAGTTACTGGTTTATTCCTGATTTTTTTATTTTTCTGTATGACAGAGTGCTTTCAAGTGTGTATGTATATGCACATTTCCCAGTCCCAAGCCCTTTGTATTTGAAGAGAGCAGTTTACAGAGCAGTGTAAGCGCCCACCCTGTCTCCTTGTGCAATCACTTGCATTCTCCAGTCTCGATGTCTCATCATTGTAGGCCAGGCAGTGGCAGAAGTTGGGCTGCAGAGGAGAGAAGACTGAAAGGTCACTGCTTCACAAACTGCTCCATAAACAGCTGTGAGTAACAGAGAGGGTGGCAGACCAGAGGGATGTTAGGAATCACATGAATTTTACATGTCGTAATTCTCCAAAGGACTAATCACTGAGTTTAACACATGACAAATCTTTTTTCTCCTTTCTGACTGAATTAAAAAAAAAAAAAGGCACTGTGTTCAGTTTTGGACCCCACACTACAAGAATGACCTGGACCCTGGAAGTGTCCAGAGAAGGACAACAAAGCTGATAAGGGATCTGGAGCACAGGCCTTATGAGAAGCAGTTGAGGGAACTGGGATTGTTTAGTCTGCAGAAGGGGAGGCTCAGGGGAGACTGCATCACTCTCTACAACTGCCTGAAAGGAAGCTCAGGTGAGGTGGGGGTCAGGCTCTTCTCCCAGGTAACAGCGACAGGACAAGAGGGAATGGCCTCAAGTTGCATCAGAGGAGGTTCAGGTTGGATATTAGGAAAACTTCTTCTCAGAAGAAGCGGTGATGCGGTGGCACAGGCTGCCAGGGTGAATTCACCACCCCTGGAGGCGTTCAAGAGCTGTGCAGGTGCAGCACTGAGGGACATGGTCAGTGGCACAGTGGGGATGGCCAGACTTGATGTTCTGAGTGGTCTTTTCCAACTTTAATGAATTCTATTCTATATTTCTGTGGCCAGCATCACATAACAATTCAAAGTCCCACATAAATGTAATAAGCATAAATACCACATTGCACTGCTTTTCTTTTCTCAGCATTACAGCTACTGCACTCACTTTTTAAAGATGCCCAACTAAAGACAAGCTTACAAAGCGCTCATCTGCACACAGCCATCACGTGCACAAACAAAATGCACACCGGGTTCCTCTGGACGTGTTACAGCCTCAGCCCGCCAACACCGCACCTGCAGCCCCGTATTTCATTACACACTTGCGGTGCTGCCTTACCCGAGAGCCGCTCCGCAGAGCCCTCTCCTTTCGCTTCAGCTGCGCCACCAACCCCTTCCCAAAGCGGTGAGTCGCCCACCCTCTGCACGGCGGGACAACTGCGCCCCTCTAGCCCAGCAGCCGAAGACCCCCGCGGCAGCCCTGGCCGGGCCGGAGCTCTAGGCAGGTGCGCGGTTCCCGCCACCTCCCGGGGCCGCCGCCCCGCCCACACCTGCCGCCCGCCCGCCCACCTCCGGGACGAGCCGCACCGCCGTAGCTCCCGGCTCACCGGCTATGGACGCGTAGCGGCGAGAGAAGAGCGTTCCTCAGGTCAGTGGGTGGAGGGTGGGAGGGAGAGCCCCTCCGAGGCATCGCTCCGCTCCGCCTCCCCGCTGTCGGTCCCCTGCCCACCTGCGCTCGGCTCGGCGCTCGCTGTCCGTTCGCCCTCAGCCCTCCCGCTCTGACGGCCGCTCTTCTCTCCCGCAGAAGCCCCCGCGTCGCGATGGCGGACAGCGCCGCGGCCACCGCCACCGTGAAGGGCAGCAGCTCGGGGGGTCACTGGTGGAAGTCGCTGACCGGCAAGAAGAAGCACAAAGAAGCCGCGGCCGCCCCGCCTCCCCCCGCCGAGCCACCCGGCTCCCCGGAGGAGCCGCCCCCCGCGCTGGGCAACGGGGAGCCCCCGGGAGCGGGCGGAGCAGCCCGACGGAGCCTTCGCGTCTCGCACTCGGGCCGCTTCAAGGAGCGGCGGAAGGTGCGCGCCTCGCTGCTGGCCGACGGCTCCGAGGTCTTCGACGGAGCAGAGCCCGGGCGCGCCGCCCCCAAGGGCGAGTAGCCCCGGGGGGAAAGCAGCCCCGGAGGCTGGCCTCGCTCCTCGCCCCCGCGCGGGGGGCACAGCCTCGGGGCAGCCCCGTACGCGGCGCGCGGCCAGCGGCGAGCGGAGGCCTATGGGACTGCGTGCGTGATGAGGAGCGACGCATCCAATCGAGGGACGACGTGATTGCCTTAACGATGATACCGATGGACACCCCCCCGCCCTGAACTGCGGTGGACTGGCACAAAGGTGCTGTCCCGGGATCTCCGTGCCTTCCCCGGCCCTGTCTGCGAGCCAGTGCTTCCCGCTTGGCCTGCAGCCCCCGGCCAAAGGTGCACCACCGCCTTTTGAAGGAAGGGGGAACGACGCGTTTGGATCCGATTTCAGGGCCAGGGATCTTCCAGTAGTGCCTCCGAACTGCTCTTGGTGGTGGGTGTGCAGGGAAACAAGCCCTGATTGTGTTTAGATGCTGGGGGCGCAGGTGCTCGGGTGCTCTCAGGCATCGCATTTAAATATGCAAAGGCAGGAGCGCATTGTTTTCTGCTCTTAGCGCTAAGCAGGTGATTCAAGAGGTTAGTCTCCCATAGCTCTGTTACAGCAAGAGTCCAGTTATTGTCTAACAACTCACATTTACTACTCAGAGAATGCACCATTTTCTTATAATTGGTGATAACTGGCATAACAAAGCTGTGATAAAGAAATGCGGAAGACGAGACCAGCCCTTGAGAGCATGGGCTGCATGGTACTCTAAGCACAGTGATTGGCTTTGGAACCACTGGAAGTATTCTTTAGTTTTTACTGTGTACCAGGCTTCTGGGGCAAGGTGCAGAGCTCCTGAGACCTCTTGTTGACATGCTTTGCCCTGGGCAGATGCATCCCTGCAGCTCCAGGAGCTTTGGACCAGAGTAAACCATCCACCAGACTCGCACTGGTATTGTGCCTTACAGAGCAAACTCAGCTAAAAATACTTAGCAATTACACATTTCTTAACAGCAGATCATGTAGCTGCAACTGCCTTATTTATTTTTAAATGAATTTGCAATATACTTGATATCATTGAAATGGTTTTAGCCTTTTTTTTTTTTTTTTATAATGTGATATAAGATATTACATCGTGCAGGGACCAAAAATAACCTCCTAATAGTCAAGTGTGATGCAGTTATGATTTTGTTTTGTTGTTGTAACTAATTATTTAAGGTGATGACAACATAAAAAGTGACCTGCAAGGAAAAAGAGAGATGAATTCTGAAAATATGGATTGAACCTGTCACTGACAATCAACAAAATGATGTAGTAGAGACAGGACTGGTGCCCTGTGCTTCACTTGCATAATGGTCTGTAATGAACTTTGAAAGGTCCTGTGCAATAAACTAAGACAATCTTGCTGCCTTAGTTAACAATCCTTCGCTCAGCTCCTTCAGTGTCCTATATCTGAGGACACTGGGACTGTATCATCATTAAAGTATTTTCTTAAGAGTCTGCTTTCCACCCAGTGTGCTTTTTCCTTTTGTTTAGTAAAGCTTCGAAGCACTGATTGCTTTTGGACTGCCCTGTGTACTCTTGCCTACATGCTGACATTGCAGAGCGAGGATGGGGCAGCTCTTAGAAGCCACCACTGCTGCACCTTGGAGATGCTGCTCTTATGTAGAGCTTGTTCGCTGAGAGGCACTTAAAGCCATGAATGAGAAGTGACTGGAACAAACCCCATCTTGTATGGAGGGATCTGAGAAAGATGAAGTTTAAAACTGGGAATGGAGACAGCAATGACAAAAATAACTTAGCAACACTATTGTGAAAAGATAGTGTTTTGATTCCAAGCTACTTATTTCTGCAGTGAACCTCTGTTTGTTCTTTGGAAATTGACTTGCAGGTTCATTGGCTGAAAGTCCTTGGGCACAGGGTATCTACAAATGATGGTTTAATCTCAGAAGAACTCTGGTATGATGTTCAGATGGTTGCTGCTAGGATTTGATACGCACGCAGGTTAATATGTGACTACATATTAGTCATATCTGAAGTCCTGATGACTGGTACTTACAGCCTGGAGATTTGGTCAGAATATGACGTCCACAAATACATGTAAAATGACTTGATAGCAACCATCCTCCATCTTAATCGTGACCTTGAGCTGTGGGAAGGAGAAGTAACTCTATCTTCCTGCTCAGTCAAATCCTTGCTTCAATGAATTTGATAGCAGCCACTGAAAAACTAGATCCATGAGAAAACTGGCTGCCTGCCGTGTCTCACTTTCCACACCCTCTGTGCAATGGCCACACAGCAGTGCCTTCAGGTTAGCGCTGGCCTGGGTTGGCTCAACGTGAGGAGCCCCACTGGCCATGGCCAACTTGTATGGCAGAAATAATCCTCTTCTTTCTCAGCCTGAGCATCAGATGAAGATTTAAGCAATGTATGTGTCTGTAAATGAATTAAGCCGATACAAGAAAAACACTACAATTTATGAAGCATCTGAATTATTTTTTTAATCCTTGAAGTAAAGAAAGATTGAACTTTCTTTTGTATTGGAATACTTGTTCAGTTATAACAATAGTGTAATTATATGCAGTGAATTATTAAAAGGCTGTTGGCATTCTTCGTATACTTGTTTTCTTCATCTGGCATTCCTAGTGTACGTATTTTCCTCATCTTGTTATAAAGAAAATGCATCAGATAGCAGGTTTAGGAAACGAGGCAACTGCAGAAGTAGTTGCTGCTTGTTTTTAAAAGTAAAAACAGCTTATTGACAAAATAAATAAATAAGCAGATGAGGTTGAACTCCTGCTACAACAGCTGTAGTGCACTTTTCTTGAAATTATTCCACAATTTGCTAAGGGTTGCAGGTTATGGGCAAAACTAAATGCTTAGTAAATAGCTTGAACTTTTCAAATAAACTTGCAAAGTGTATGCCTACTTATTCTTGCTCTTGTTGAAGCCAAAAATAAAGCTCTGGGTGGCTTCTGGTGATTCATTTGCTATTGTAGGCTGGTCAGTCTGGCACTCAACAAAGATTATAGGGAGCAGGAAGCCCGCTGCAGCACCTGCAGAAAAAGATCCTAAATAGGAAACACTGGGTCAAATGCTGGAATAACTAGCTGGAAAGCCTCAGGAGTCTAAACCTCAGCTTTTAGGTAATGCTGTTGCCTGAACTGAGCAGAAAGAACGGAGAAGGGACTGTGTGAGATACTCACAGATTTATTTATGTAAATTTTGTCTTCACTGTAGCGCAAACAGTGATAGTTTTTATTTGACATGTAGTAAAGTCTCTTGTCTGTTGACAAGATAATTTCTTAGGAGGGCTAAGAGCTGAAGGACAGAGCTCGTAGCCTTGGCTCAGGCAGTACATCTGGATATCACACTTTAAAGCCTGTGTTTAATTTAGCACGTTCAAACAGCTGATATCTCATTGGATGAAAAGCTGTTCCAAGTGCAGGTGCAAACTGGAAGCTCATTTCGTAGCCTTTGGGGATCCTGTCTAAACAAAGAAACCCAGGCCTGGTGTTTTCTAGGATGTCATTTCAAAACTGGGGTAAGAGAGTGTGGATTATAGAATGATATTTGAGACCATACAATTACACCATTTTGAAAAACAAACCTTTACCCTTCATCACTAATTATTGTAAATAGGAGGGGAGACCTGCTGGCTGTGATTTTTCATTTCAGAATAAAACAGAAGGGATAAACTTGCTCTACTTTATATACCACAGAAGTAGCTTATCTTGTAACTTGAAAGACACGTGAAATTCACAAATAGCTCCAAGAAACAATATTCAGATGTAGTCTTCATGTAAAGCATATTGATTAGCAGTTGCAGCTTAAGATCTAGACAAAGCAATATAATATCAAATAACGTGTTTTGAGGATAGAGAATCTCTTTTCAAAAAAGTTCCAAGGGATGTTTTTAAATGAAAAATGTAGTCCCATGTATAATCCTCATCAGAGCAAAACGTCATATTTCATATGACTGAAAATGAGTTAGAATATTTTGGAATTAGCAGAGTATTAATAATAGATAATAATAATATATATAATAATAACAGAGTTTATTATTATAAATAATAATAACAGAGTATTAGTTAGCAGGCTATGGATTGTTTTGGAAGGGTTGGAGTTGGCTTGATTCTCAATGCCAGGAAACTTCTGCTACCTCCTTGCCACACCTCAGGTCTCCTCATGCAAAGCTGCTGTTTGTGGTGGCTCTTTCTGCCTCTGTTACTGAAAATAAGAACCACACCTACGTATGTCAGTAGAAATGAAAAATCAGTGTTACTGTGCTCCCTTGTACTTCAGTAGCTTACATTCTTTTTGCCCTGCTGGCATCAGTGAATTTTGCTTCCCAGATTTTTGTTTTGTCCTCAGTTTGCAAATGTTAGGACAGATAACCTCCACTGAGCTCGCAAGTGCTGCTCAGTGACAGAAGAGTGGGCAGCAGTGGCTGAGGGAAAAAGAAAATATAGGGCAAATCTACTTCTGCACTTGCTTCTGGGAGCCTTCCCACTCATTTTTGTGATGTGGAGCAAAATTGAGCCTTAATCTTGATTATGGAAACACCACTGCCTGAGAAACATAGTGTGCACATCTTTGGTTGAATTTATCTTGTCCTGTGCTTTCAGTGATAGAGCTTTCCAAAAATCAGTTGGTTTACCTGTCCTGTTGAACTGCCTTGGGCTCCGGGCTAGCAACATGGCATAACCTTAAAAGAGCGGTCCTTCCAAAGCTGCTTCCTTGAAATGCTGTAGCTCAGACCTGTGCAATATGAAGGACGAAAACACCTACATGAGCTGTATTTTCTGGCTCCTCTATTTTGGGAATCTTTTCTTGGCATAAAAGCACTATAACAATCTCCTTGCTTGCCCCAAAAGCAGCTGGAGAAGTAGACCATGCGATCAGCACAAGTACAGCATACAGAAGGACAGCATTTTGCACTGGCACTCTCTTAAGGAGACAAACCAACCCCTAGACACTACACCACACTTTTTAAGACAGTTTAACTCTTCCTTCAAGGCCAGAAAGCTACAGTTTGTTGC